AATTAGCCATATGAGGATCTGCATGCAACATCAGCCGTTACTTTCTGCAAAAAATCCACATTACAGAACACCACATGGAGGGAAATGGATAGGAAGTCCATCACCGAAAATAGGACTAGAAAAATCAGCAACATGCGCGTGTGTGGAACACAAACACAAACACAAACATCATAATGGATGTATATGTTAAGGCACTTACAGGAAGGATCAAATAGGAATCTGAGAGAAAGTTCAGTAAAGAGGAAATTGTGTATGTTAGTCATATCCCCTCTAAGAAAAAACAACCCATATAAGTAGGGGAAATTAAGAGAGAGGATAAGCCACAGGACTATGATCAGCCACAACCTTATTTCTGCACTAAATGTACTAAGTAGGCGATGATCCCTACATATGCATACGTATCATCCATATTAAACCATATTTTGAGACAGACCAACAGAGATGGCCGAGCTGCAGCCTAATTAACGACTTCTATTCCACAAAATAGACCTGGTACAAAACTGAAGAAGCAAAAAAACAAGAACATGTTACTGCAAAACAGAGGGAAGAAAAGAATTTCCCAATCGCATCGTCCAAATTAAGCCATGATAACCAAATCATCCGGTAGGTAATTCATTCGTTGACAGAACTAAAAATGGCCAAGTCATGTAACCTAAAAGAATAATAAACGAAAAATATCTACATGGATATGAATTGAGATTTTGAACAGAAACGACAAACCAGCTCGCTTGCCATTTACCAGGATTGCAGTTTACCACCATGCATGGGATTTGCAAGAACTGCATTCAAAAAAATATATGTTCATTTTGCCACCATCACAATCATTGACAAAAAAAAACCAATTTTGACCACAAACAATGAAGGAGTTAACAATGTAGACACCTCCACAAAGAACAAAATTATTTAGAAAGTTAATTTCAAACATACTTGTCCACAAACATTGTCCTTGAGTTGGCTAGATCCATGGTCTAGCTGAAGAACAAAAAGCAACGCATCCTACAAAAAGAAGGACCAATCCAATTGTCAAAGCCAACTTATAATCATAAAATTTAATGATAACATTCAATCTACGACTATATTTATAAGTATTAGACAAGTGAATAGCATATGACTTCATGAAATTCCAATGTACCTCCATTACACGAAATAGAAGGGACAACCAAAGCCCATGAACTCAACCTTTAGTGTCGGCAGAAGGCTCATCATGAGGTTCCACTAGCGTGCTCTACAAAAGGTGAGATCTTTTGAGCAAGGGTACTGGATATCAATATGAAGAACTGGAAATAACTAAAGAAGCAAAATGCACATCTAAAAACAAAAAAGCTATGAAGAATGACTAATAGTCGGCATGAAAAAATAATTAGAGACAGACGAACCAAGATAATCCAAGGTGCAGCCTACCGAACAACTTTAGCTCCAAACAAGATGCACTGGTACAAGAACTTCCAAAGTAAGAAACCGTGAACATGTTATTGCAGAACTCGTGTACATGTCATAAACAGAGGGGGGAAAGAAATTTCCCAAAAATCAAACCATGATGATCAAATTATCCAGCAGATCATCAGCCACTCCTGACAGAACTATAAAAGGTTGTAATTTAGTGAAAAACAAGTAAATGACACACAAAGAATGTAGACGTATATAAACAGAGTATTTAGAAAGGCTTTGATAATGTATGAAAAAGAGAGATATTTTCAAGAAACCCTGGCCTTTGATTAAAGGTGATTAATTTAAGCAAGAATTTTTAAACCAAGGAGGGATAAAAGCCATCCGTTTTCTAATTCAACTTAAAACACATTTTGACAGAACTCTCATGTCAACATCTCTATGTTGAAAGCCACATAAAATATTTTATTTATTTCCTTCACTTGATAAATCTAGGAATGATCCCAGAGAAAAGGTTAACATCAAGATAACACTTGCGGAGAAATAAGAGTACTAGGAGGGGATGTAAAAAATATATGTTGAAAGCAGAAGTGGCGGATTCCAGTCACTTGTCTAAGTCAACTAAAAATAGCTCTCTCCCGTCATCATCTTTCTGTTGGGAGTCATATACAGATTTGTAAAATATTTTATTTATGTCCTCTGTTGATTAATATAGGAATGATCCCAGAAAAATGGTTAACATCAATAAGATAACACTTGTGGAGAAATGAGAGTACCAGGAGGAGATGTAAACAATGCAAGTTCAAAGCAGAAATGGCTGATTCTAGTCTCTGTTGAATTCCCCGATTCGGGTGATAAACATAAGTTCGTCTTCCGGACCTGCCAAGAAGAATGTCACAAGGATGGCATTTCAATTAGGCCGTACGAGGAATGCAATCAACATCAACGGTTACTCCATGCAAGACATTACTTACAACTTAATAGGAACTAAATGACTAATAACCAATACCATGATATCAACTTACCAAGATTCAGTCAGGGAACTGAACAGATCGATTCAAGGAACACAAAATGCAGAAACATGTGTATGTGCGTGTGGAAAACAAATGCAACACCATATTGCATGGATATGTTAAGGCGCTTACATGATTTTCGAAGCTGTTGTCGCAATTTCAAGTAAATCTTAACACCATGGAACAACCAATGCCAGACTTGATACCAAGAGTCGATACAAACCATATTTTGAGACTGACCAGCCTACCGAACAACTTCTAGCTCCAACAAGATGTGCTGGTACAAAAACTGCCAAAGTATAAAGCCATGAATATGTTATTGCAAATCTCATGTACATGACATAAAAAGAGAGAACTCCGAAAGGCCAAGTCATTTAATGAGAATGTAAACATATATAAACATGGTATTTGGAAAAATGACTTTACAGTTCGACATCACTACCATTATCCGGCCTAGCAGTCAACTGCATGTGATCCAAAGACTAGAGAGTTAATGGGGATAAAGATCAAATACACAATTCCTTTCTCAAGAATGGAACTACAAGTAGATATGACATGTTGTGCAGCTAATTACCAGTATATGTAAACACAGCCTTCCAATTAATTTTCCATTACTGACCAGATGATACAGAAGTCAGATGCCCTCAGGTCCTGAAATATCAGAGCTGTACCAACATTTCTCAAGAGGAATAAATATGCAATGCAAGTGACACTAATATCTCTTTTATTCAAAACCTACAACAAAATACATTTAAAGATCACCCATCAAAATAAAATAAACAAAAACCAAAAGTTGTACCAGAGCACATCCTTTTTTGATAGACTTAAAGATGGGAGATCAGGATTGGTCAAGTCAWTTTGTACGCAATGTCTCTACATGTACCTTAACAGCTCGTTTCAATAGAGATTGAAGAAATTCATGTGACAAACATGATGAAGACAACCAAAACATGAAGCTTGAGGTTGAAATCAACAAAAGAAATGGGAATTGCAGAACCTCAATGGTGATTCCAGTGCCAAACAAGTTCAATTTTCAGAAATCATGACACAAAATGCAAAATTAGTATCATGCAGATCATTTAAAAAAATGCCATGATACCACTACATGCCAAAGAGAGGGCCAACAAAAGACTTATTCTGGAGCATCACGAGGAGAAATTGAAGAGAGCACTATGATGGAATGCAAACAATATAATACGAAAGCATGAATGGTCAATTTCCAGCCCGTGTGAGAGAACTCTTGAGCATTGTTTTTTTGAATTAGCCATATGAGGATCTGCATGCAACATCAGCCGCTTACGTTTTGCAAAAAAATCCACATTACAAAACACCACATGGAGGGAAACCGATAGGAAGTCCATCGCTGAAAATTGAA